CTGCAAAAACAAGCAAGTCTTTAGACCCAAGAATTGTGGAGAAAATGCAAGATGTAGTCACTCACACCCGCTAGTTGCGTTTTGTGCAGTACATGCCATAGCAAGCCTGTCAGCGCCATGCAACACCGCCTCTCTATGTCTCGATCCAAAACTACCTTAACATAGAAATTCTAGACAAACTCTACGTTGTTCGGAAGCTGCTGAATAGCTCTACAACCTGCAAAAACAAGCAAGTCTTTAGACCCAAGAATTGTGGAGAAAATGCAAGATGTAGTCACTCACACCGCTAGTTGCGTTTTGTGCAGTACATGCCATAGCAAGGCCTGTCAGCGCCAGCAACACCGCCTCTCTATGTCTCGATCAAAACTACCTTAACATAGGAAATTCTAGACAAACTCTACGTTGTTCGGAAGCTGCTGAATAGCTCTACAACCTGCAAAAACAAGCAGTCTTTAGACCCAAGAATTGTGGAGAAAATGCAAGATGTAGTCACATCACACCCGCTAGTTGCGTTTTGTGCAGTACATGCCATAGCAAGGCCTGTCAGCGCCATGCAACACCGCCTCTCTATGTCTCGATCCAAAACTACCTTAACATAGGAAATTCTAGACAAACTCTACGTTGTTCGGAAGCTGCTGAATAGCTCTACAACCTGCAAAAACAAGCCAGTCTTTAGACCCAAGAATTGTGGAGAAAATGCAAGATGTAGTCACTCACACCCGCTAGTTGCGTTTTGTGCAGTACATGCCATAGCAAGGCCTGTCAGCGCCATGCAACACCGCCTCTCTATGTCTCGATCCAAAACTACCTTAACATAGGAAATTCTAGACAAACTCTACGTTGTTCGGAAGCTGCTGAATAGCTCTACAACCTGCAAAAACAAGCCAGTCTTTAGACCCAAGAATTGTGGAGAAAATGCAAGATGTAGTCACTCACACCCGCTAGTTGCGTTTTGTGCAGTACATGCCATAGCAAGGCCTGTCAGCGCCATGCAACACCGCCTCTCTATGTCTCGATCCAAAACTACCTTAACATAAGAAATTCTAGACAAACTCTACGTTGTTCGGAAGCTGCTGAATAGCTCTACAACCTGCAAAAACAAGCCAAGTCTTTAGACCCAAGAATTGTGGAGAAAATGCAAGATGTAGTCACATACACCCGCTAGTTGCGTTTTGTGCAGTACATGCCATAGCAAGGCCTGTCAGCGCCATGCAACACCGCTCTCTCTGCAAAAACAAGCAAGTCTTTAGACCCAAGAATTGTGGAGAAAATGCAAGATGTAGTCACATACACCCGCTAGTTGCGTTTTGTGCAGTACATGCCATAGCAAGGCCTGTCAGCGCCATGCAACACCGCCTCTCTATGTCTCGATCCAAAACTACCTAACATAAGAAATTCTAGACAAACTCTACGTTGTTCGGAAGCTGCTGAATAGCTCTACAACCTGCAAAAAACAAGCAAGTCTTTAGACCC